TGAGATATTTTCTGAGTTTAAAGAGTGCTCAGTCATCTGGAAGGAAAAACAGAACACAGGGAAAGAATATAACAGTGAGCGTGGTTGGGAAACTTAAAATGAACCCAGTGGGATCCTGAAATCAACCAAAGCATGCCATTTCCACTGTCCTGGGAGCTCTGCAGATTCTGAAGACTTCTCCTCATTTCCTTACAGGGACCCAAAGAGATGGCTCAGGGGGATGTCAAAATCAATTGGTTTCAAAAAAATAATCATTTGGTTTCTGGGGTTAGTCTTTACTTCCCTGGAGCATAAAGACCCAATGCTCATGTTCCAGTGACTTACTCAGACAACTGTGCCTGGTGTTTTGATGGATGAATCAAGCCTCTTCTAAGGAATAGTTGTTTCTCAAGGACTCATTACTTCCCTCTCCTGTCTTGTTTCTTTGCCCTTCCCAAAATTTACCCCCCTCCAAAAAAACTTGAGACCCAGCTTTCAAGTCAGAGGTTCACTTTCAAAGACTCCCCCTGTGCATGTTTCTGAGAATGGGATCACATAGGGATAGGTGGACTTAAAGATTGTAATGACCGCTGCATGTAAACTTATCAAGGAGGTCAAAGCTGGTTCTTACAGCTGAGGACCCTTGAATAACTATCATGAACTTCTGTCATTCTTCTAAGACCTCTATATTGCTGAGAGACCTGAGACATCTAGGCCTCTTTCAGTTCATACACTAATATTTTCATCAGGGACAGGATAGAAATGTTCTCTTGGAGAAACTGCAATATTAATAAACCCAGAAATGGCCCCAAGGTGGCCAATTTGACATCTTTCCAAAGTATTCCAAAACACCAAGTTGTTGATTATTCATACCTAATGTACTTGGGGGCCCAATGCTATGTCTTCTCCATGTGAAATAATACCCACTGCCCTCAAATGATGCCTCAATAGCCCTGAAACTCTCTAGACGTATTGGGTACTCTGCTACAATTGCTTCACGATCAATAAGCCCTGGGGCCATAATGATCCATTATAAAACTCAGGCATCTTTACTTATTTAACTTAGTTATAACATTATACTTTGAGATAAGGGGACCAGGGGCGAGTGTAAGGACACTTGATGTTCTTCCATAAAAATTGTTTAAGAAAATTTTTTTTTTATTTATTTATTTTATTTGTTTGTTTGTTTTGTTTATACATGCACTGGGTACAGTCAGAAGCGCGGGAGGGTGAGAGAATTCACCAGAGCCAGAGTGGGGAGCAGAGCAGGCAGAAGGACTGAAGTACACTGCTGAGGGGAGCAGCGGGCGGCAGGAGAGGTCTGCGCGCCATGTGGGATCCTCCGCCGGTGGCCGGGGAGCAGCCGGGGATCGAACCGGCGCCGCAGAGGCCACGGGCAGCTTCGCAACCCAGCGCTCAACCGCTGCGCCACCGGGGAGGCCCTAAGAAAAATTTTTAAATCAGATTTTTTTTTAAATGGTATAAAATTTATAACAGAAGGCAGCCTGGGCCTAAGCATGCCTATGAGTGCCATCAGCTGTTCCTGGCTGTCTATTTTTATTGGGATTTGTGAAGACAGCAGATGCATTCCCAGAGCTCTCTCACTGTTACAATGGCCCTCACCACCACCCGTTTCCCAGGGTTGGGATGCAAACAGTTGGAGCTGTTGAATCACTGATTTCAGAAACAAGTCATCAAAAGGACAATCTTCACACCATGGATCATAATATTGTACTTCGAGGCATTCACATTAGATATCCTCTTCATGGGAGACTTAGAGAAATGGGATTACTCAATGCAGAAAGCAAGTGAGAATCACTAGATCCACAGTGTACTCTCCTATGCCAGGTGAACTCACTATTAGCTGAATATTTTTTCTGGTACTTTGAGTTCAGCTGGAAACTCAAGATTAGTTGGGATCCTATATTCTGAGAAAATAAGAAACAGATACATTATCCCAAGGAAAAGGTCCACTGGGAATACACAGTGGGGATAATTCCTAAAATATGTGTTTCTGCTACATTCTTGCCTCCACATTCATCCATCTAAAGTCAGCTTCATGTTGCTGGGCCTGGAGTCTGCAAGCATTTCTCCTCTGGAATCTGGGCCCTCTTACAACAGTAGGGCTGCCCTAGGGAAACCACAAGGCTGGAAGCAGGAGAAGGGACTTGCTCCTTCCTGTTCATGTTAGGGTCACCCCCAAGTAGCCTGGAGTTTACTTCCAGTTCCCAGCTTCACTTCACATTTCCAGAACAGCCTCATACAGCACTGCCCTCTCCCCAGGGGTCTAAGTTCCTGAGTTCCTATTCTGAGGGGGGCCTCCCTGAGCTTCTAACTTGAGATAATTCCAACTTCATTTTGCCCTCCCAACCGTAGGGATGGTGGCTGCTTCCTGTTTCTTCCCCACTCCCTTCTCCCTATTACCTAATCTGTTCCCCCATACCTGTCACATTGATTTCTTAAATTAAATTAGCTGTTAAAATAACATATAGTTTCTCCTTTGTTGACTAATACAGCACATTTGAGAGCCACCACCTCATTTATACCAATGGTTAAAACGGCAAACTGTGAGATTCTGAATCACATCTGAGTGGGCATCGCAATCCATTCATGTCATCGCTGGTAACTGGAAAATTTAGTTCGTCTCTCTAGATCTCATTTTTCTCAATCACTTTCATTTGTTTAATTAACATTTATTGAGTACCTACTAAGTGCCAGGCAGTAGAGATGCACTATGTAGGGTAAGGAAAAATGTCAGGTTTTTCTGCCCTCCCGCCATCAGGATAGATGATGGATCCTTGAGGTCCTGAATGCATGCCTGATGGTGGGCACCTGGAATAGGGTGTGGGCAGAGGTAGATGGGATTCACCTGGGCTAAGACTGTGCTTTTTTTTTTAAGGGCGGCGTCATGGGGACGCCAGCAGAAGCCGAGAGAGAAGCAAGAGAAGCAGAAGCTGAGAGAAGGCTGGAGAGCCCAGATAGAATGAAGACTTGCTGGGGGCTGGGAGGCCTGCCAGCCTCCCGGCCCCCCAGCACCCCCGCCTGCTGTGTACCGGGTAAATCCCAATAAAAAGACCTGCAAAAAGCCACCAAGGACTCTGATTCCTCCTTTACCCGGTCTGCTGGATCAGAAAACCTGCACTGTGGTCCTGTCCTGCCCTTACACACTGTTATATGAAACTGTCAAATTCCATGACCTAGAACCTTCTGCCATATGAATCAAATGAGATAAATCAGGTAAGGATCTTGTCATTAGTCTCCCTCTGAATACCATGTCAGGAGAACAAAGGTGAATGTGTCTTGAAGAAAGAAATGTTTGAACAGCTAGGGCTCTTCAGAAAATGAGACAAGTGTCTTTTCCTCAACGAGAGTGAAGATCTCATGCAATACAACACCAGGATTCACTGTATGTCCCATCCATTCCTCCTGTTCAGAGCAGAGAAGCAATGACCTCACAGCAGAATTTAATCAGATGGAAATGAGTCAACAGCCCAAGAAAAGAACACTACATTATTTAGAAATTCCAAGGAGTCAGGTTAACTGTGATACAAGGCAAGAGCAAAGGGAGCTAGGCACAGGGATAGGACTGGAGTGCAAAATAATGATGATATGAGATGCTAGTAGAAGATACCAGAAAATAGCTATTCCAGCATCAGTCACAAAGAGTCTTTGCATTATAAACTATATATGTTTATATACTAAGTTTCAATTCATTTGAGAGATATAGCTTAGAGTTTACTTTAAGCTTTCTGCAGTATGACTATACATCTGGAGATGCCAGGAAGGTGATGAGATGGAAAAGAAAGATCCTGATTCCCTTTAAGTCTGAATCCAAAGGTCCCAAACTGTAGGCAGAAAAAAGCTGGGGGAAAATCCAATCTCCATGTTCTGACATGTCCTTTTGTCTTCTGCTCTCTGGACATCAAGCATATTGAGTCAAGGGTGGCCAATGTTCTCAGGAGCAAGGAAATATTTCTGCAGGCCTACTATGTAGCTAAAACCACTGTCTACAACACATCGCTACCCTACAAATGCAAACTAAATTCCTATGTTCATTTTTACTCATTCTGACAATTCTATGACCATCAAAAAATATGCTAAAGGAAAACTACCATGGGAAATTGTTACTTGAAGGTCTATTCCACATCCTTGCTCTAGGGCCTCATTATTAATCATTTGCTATCACTGAAGTAATTTAGAGATCCATAAGAGAGCTTTATTCATAAATAAATATGCCAACATTTAAACAATAAAGAGAGCGTCAAACTCTAGGACTACTAAAATGAAATACATATACACACACACACATACACACACACACACACACACTACCTGGATGATTTATTATGCTTGTGTTTATAGTCCAAATGGGAAGATAATTCAATTCCACCTGAAGAGGCATTATATGGCCAAGCCCAAGAGAAGTACTTTGGACAAGAGGTGACATTTCTCAGTTTCTCCATTCCAAACAAATTATTATATCTGATTTTAGGACATCACTCAGGCAATTCCTTTCATGAATTGCTACACTCTTGGGCAATTAAAAAAATTATAAGGTAAAAGAAGTAGGGGACAAATGCCAGATTCAAAGCGATCCAGAGAACTGAAGAACCCCCAGAGAGCAGTGCTCTCTCAGACATAAGGCCAGATAATCCCTTCTGCTCATGAAAACATAAATGAGCAGTGACTATGCATCACAGCAAGAACATTATTACCCAGCAGAGGCAACCTGCTAAATGCAGACTTCATCTCCAAACAACCCTCCCAACAGGAATATGAGCAAAAAGATCCCTCCCAATGAGATGAAGAAATAACACTTGGCAAAATAGCTTCACTGTGGCACATGGCAGCCTTCCCTCTTGCACCCTCCCCCCGCCTCCACCACACTTTTAATTCAACCTGGTATTAGAAGAATCTGTTTGGTTTATATCCTTGAACTTGGCAGAGGATACTCTGGTGCCAGCAAGGGCAAAGACACCCTGGCTTATCAGAATAGCCCTGGAATTCCTGGGCTTACGTACCATCCAGGCCATTGTGATGGCTGTAGTTTCTTTTCCCCAAAATGCTCAGAGACGTGTGATTCGGGGTAGTTAGCATCCGCTTGGTAGTGGGGGTTTGCAGGCTTGGTGCAGATCGAATTATATTAGGTTTCTTCGAAGGATGAATCTCTGACGGGGAAAAAAAGGTTTCTCAACTCAGAACATGATATTAAAAATCTCTGTGTGCACTCACGTTGGCTAATAGACACACATCTCATTTCTTAATGAGCTGGGAGTCAATTCCTCATGAGCCAGCCTGTTTTAAGGACTTGCATAATGAATCAGCTTCAAGGGCTGTTACCATGGCTTTGCTTATCAAAAGTGAGCTGGCTCTCCTGTTAGCTGGAGCTCTGTGCCTCATGTTGTGAGTACAAGGGGTGGGGGGGTAGTTGGAGAGACTACTTCTACTTCAGAAGGTTGCTTAAACACGAGGTTTACTAAGCGAATAAGGCATCTGACCCTTCAAGGTGTTAGACATCCAAAGGTTAGCTACACCGATCACCTCAGAGAAAAAGATACCTCTGTGTTCTAGCAAACCAGGAAAATAGCATGTGGCATGTCTGGTGTGTAAGAACTTCCTGGAAAACAGGATCCCTCCTGTCTCCACAACTGGGGTATCGGGCCAGGGTCGATCACTCCCACTCCAGAGCATTTTAATACAGACAAAATCTGACACCAAACTCAGAATACTAGAGTCCGAGGCTGTCCATGAAAAGCTCTGGTGGAGGATCACACAAACAGGTAAGGGTGCATAAGTGTGATGAAGGATGTTGTCAGTCACACAGCCCAGAACAGCACTTTCTGCACAGTGTAGGGACGGAAATGGTAATACTGTTGGAACTGGATTTAGGGACCTCAGTATATTGTTAATTCTGGGCAACCTCTTCCCTAAGACTCACCATGCTCACTGATTCTCAGGGTCATTACCCATGCAGACTACCAGGCACAAGCTGCCCTGTCTCCTCAGGTGACAGCCAGGATTTTTGTCTCATTTATTGAAATTTAGCAACTCATTAGGGTTGTTGTAATAACTATATCTTTGTCTGATTAAAATCCTACATTTGCCAAAATATAAGCATGGATCAAGTACTAACCAAAATATAGCAATTTTTTTTTTCCCAAGTGGCACTGACAATTTGCCAACCTTGTTTTTTACTATAACCTCTAGACTCTGTACTCCATCTAGACTAAAGAATTTGCCTTCTCTGAACTTTTCAGGTCCTTGAGATCTTTGTTCATCTGGCTCATTTGGTCTAAGGGGATATTCTTTTTCTATTTTTCTACCAGTTCAAATATTCATACTTTCAAGGATGAGATAAAATATTACTTTTTCACTTAGTTGTGCTAACATTCATCAGAAAGAATTACTCCATCCTCCAAGTGCCCCATGCATTCTATCTATGATTCTTTCATGGTATCTAATCCTTATCCATGTTTTCCCCAACAGACTAAGATTTTTGAATGCAAGGACTCAAAAATCCTAAATCACTAAGCACAATGTCTTGTACAGAGTAAAGACTCAGAAATATGTGATGTAGGGAAGTAGTTTGTTAATAAGGAGAACACACCTTTCAGCTTATCTGGCAAAGATAGGATAAAGGGAACACACAATTCATGGAAAGACTGACTAGTATGCAATGCTGTATTTCTTTTTTTTAAAATCAGAAATTCTCCCTTCTAAAAGGCTTCTAGGATTAGGTAACGCAAGGGAATACAGACAGCAGACTATAAGGTTTGAGCACCATGAATTGGTTTATGCCTGTGCTGATATGTGACATTTCCAGGGGCTATGAAAGCAACTCTTTAGCCCCTAAGGAATAAAACAAGAAATAAGATGGCAGAGTAACATCAACGAGGGAGCTGTGAGCTTCTGATTTCTACAATGTTCTAAGGATCAGATAATATACCAAGTTCAAGGCTACACTTTGATTTTTAAAAGACTGGGTGTCTGAAGTCTGAACACTTCATAACTATAAATCTTTCTGACACAGCAATAAGGTTCAATGTAACTCTGAGCACATATTTCACTTTCACTGAGAAAATGGAAAAGCAAGAATATTATTAGAAGTATAAAAACATGTCATTATAGCTTGTAGGTATATTAGGCATCATTATTTTATAATCTGTTTTCCTTAAAACTGCAATAAAAAGATTACTGCCAAGTAATATTTATACTATTTTTAATTGCAATATTTCAACATGCAAATAGAAACATCATCTTTATGACATTCAATTTAAATCACATAAAATCAGAAAGCATACAAATGCTCCCTTTTAAAATAACATTAGCTGGCACATCAAAATTATAAATATTTCTTTGAAGGTAAGTTAAAAATTATTTTTATCTAATTTTTTATGAAGAAAGCAAACCAACCATTCCTTCTCTATTTAAGGGAAGAGGTAAAAAGTGAGTTATAAATCATGGAAGGATCCAAATAAGAATATGGACTATTCATTTCTAATTTGGTGATTTTATTTTCATCTTTTTGCTTAATCTGACTGAATTTATATCCATATACACATATTTTTATTCAATAACTTTTTTGGGGGGTGGGAAGTAAACCTACCCATGATATGTTTGTTATACATGTTTTGGTAATAAAAGTTTCCAAAACCAAATAAATTATTCATATGAAGGTATCCAATTTCAAGTATTTGAAATATTTGAGTATAGTTTAGATAAATCCATTTAACATAACCAAGTATTTATATTATGCAGAAACTGTTGAGTTTTTACTTTATTAGAAAATACCCACCTAAATACCCAATGATACATGCCAAAGGTTTCCTAGTGCTTTTGCTTTTCAGAGGACTTCCAGAAAGTTCAGCATGTCTGTCTGCATCTGAGGAGAGAAAGAAACATGGAGACAACCAGTTAAGCTGCTTTCTCTACCTACACTCCACACATGGCAGAAATAAAAGTTGCACATGGAAAACAGCACAAAATACCCACCAAATTCCTGCATAACTTCCTGTGGGACTTGAGAAAACCATTTCTATTCCTGGTTTCAAATTAGTGGATGAGGGATTCATCTGAAGAATACTCACTTCAAAGCCCAACATAAGTGCACTAATACACATCTTACATATACATGCTTTCTTTCCATGCCTACCTGGAAAGCAGTGGAAATATACCTCCTGTCTAGCCAGGGCATTTCTACAATATAGTAGACTTTTTCTGTATAACACAAGGTGGTATGAGAACTAACATAAGATTAGCTTGTCACAGAAGACAAAAATAAGAGCTAACTAAGGCAATACACTTGGCCATCATGACATTGACGGAATGGGTCTCCACTGAGAAGTCTTTATCTTGGTGAAACTGAATTCTGCTAGATTAGAGCTTCACAGGGTAAAAATGGGCTACTTGGTTTTATCACTGGTTTTCTTCTATTCTTCATATCCTGGGATGTCACTAGTGCTGAAGTTTAGGCTTATCTGTATACAGAATATTTAATACAATAGTCATGAATAGTAAGATACTCTAAGGATGGATATTACCTCATAAATGTTGACATTATACTTGTCATATTCTACCATAAAACAGAAAGGAAAAAATAAGGCATAGAACACAAATATTCCCTGAATTTTACTTAGTTGTTGTTAGGATGGAAGAAAAGTGGAACATTGCTGCATCTCATAATGAAGAATTAATTTATAAATATAGAATTTGAAAGGATGAAACAAAGCATATATTGAAATATTTAACTTTGCAGACACTGTCATAAAGCTGAGAGTAATTTTTAACAGATAAGTTGTAACATTTATGCCGCTCCCTGTCTTTACATATTTCACAAAGATGTCCCAGAGGTTTTCTGATACCACTGAAGAAACTGTGCTTTCAGAGACTGAGACCACATTTTCAGGCACACACACTGGAAATTCTCTTTGGCAGCCATAGAAATTCTCTATTAGTGTTAAATTGTATAGTTCAATCAGGTACCTCAAATAATTTAAACTTTTTCATAAACTCTAGCATTCTTTTTCACCAAGAAAGCCCTTTTCTAATAAGGACTAAACAGGAAAAGGTGAGAATGCAGCATTTTAAAAATATTAAAACAGACAAAGCAACACTGCAGAGAACCTTGAACAAGAATCTAAATATGTATCCCAAGCACTGGCTAATTACTATGCAACCACTGACAACTATAAATGATGCAATTTCTTTTCCTTCTATTCAGATGACTTCCTTTGGGGAAAAAAAGTTACTAAGCCTTGAAGCTTATCACCTGTTGTTGAATAATAGTGAAGATACAGGGAGAACCATAATAAGTATTTTTTGGAGAAACAATCCAAACAAAGATTAAAAAGCAACTCCAACCCTGCAAAGATCAAACACCTGTCAAATTACTGTCAGTTAATACTAAATAATTCCTTCCTGATATTCCTAAGACACCTGAACTTTAAATTCTATTTGGGATGAGGATAAAAGAAAATTTTCTCTCTTTTATTAATAAAATATACCTTGAATGACTATTATTTATGTTCTCAATGTTTTAGACAAACACAATTGTTTTATTACTAGCAATAAGATTAACTTTGCCCTTTATTCCTTTACCCTTTATTAACTTTATGCCCTTTATAAGGTCCAAAGGAAAATTGCCAATGTGCTGTATGATGGACTCCCATGTCACCGTGCATCAACAAATCCATCAAAGGTTCACCAACACCATATCTAATGTATTTCACTCTGAACTATACTACTCTGCTCTTAATTTCTCATTCAATGAATGAGATTAGTGATGGGATGTTGCAAGTGACAATTTACAGAGCATCTGAATGGGACATCAAAGCTCTTTATAAAAAGATTTCATTAATTCTCATTTTAAAGAAAATAGTGGCAAGAATTAACAGTCTCAACTAGGAAGAAATGGGGATGAAAGGTGCTGAAAGTACCCAGTCACCGTTTAACATCAAAATGCAGCCATTCGATAATATACAGTGAATACAAAAGAGAAAAATATCCTGTTCCCAGGGGATGATCATAAACAAAGGATTCTCAGGCCCACACTTGAGGTTTAAAAAATGTGGTCTGCATTCAAAATCAGACCAAAGAATGACTGAAAGTGATTGGTTCTTGTCAGTCATTCTTTCTCTCAAACTATTCATCGAATCTCTTTCAGCACCGGTAATTCATTAGTATTCATTAAAAATGCACAGAAGAAAGCAACCTGAGAAATGCCCAAGGAACCCAGAAGGAATCAAAACCTGCCTAAAGAAAGCATTTGCGTCTCACTCAGTCTGAGCCCAGGCACATCTCTTTGGCTTCCTAGAGGAGGAACTACATCTCCTTGAAGTAAACTTGGAAAAACACAGCTGCTTTTATTGCAATTCATGACTACTTTTCTAAAATGTTTTAGAAATATTAGGAGAGAAAATGAAATAGAAAAATTACACACTGGATTAAAATTCACAAAAACATCTCACACGGGCTTTCACGATGGCTGTCAAAATGAAACCATAAAATTTTCTTAAAGGAATTGTAAAAGCATTTCTAAATGAGACAAAAAACTCAGGTACCATAAAAAAATAATTCAGCTACATTATTTTTAAAACTCTGCTTAGCAAATATATCATAAAGTCAGTGACAATGGAGGAAGGGACATATTGGCATCACATATCACAGATCAAGAGCTAACTTCCTTGAAATGTAAGTTCCCAAGTCAATAAAACTGCTATCAGAAAACAGGAAGGTCAGGGATGAAAACATTCGACTGATGAAAATACAAATGATTTTCAAATATATGTAAAGATTTCTATCTCATTCAAAATGAGAAATGCAAGCTAATGTAACTTACATTGTCACCTGTCAACTAGTCATGATTTCCAAAGACAGATAACACTGCTGCCAAGATCCTAGAGAAGTGGAATCACACTGTGGGTATGTATAAGTTTTTAGTTTTTTGGAGAGCAACTGAGTAGTGACTATCAAAATCCAAAATTCTTGTTCCCTGGCCCAGATGTTTTATTTTAGAGATGTTTCTGAAGGATGTATATTCACATTTCACATACCTGCATTAAATTTGTATAAGGATATTTATTGCGATATTATTTATAATAAAAAAAATATTAGAAATCACCGGGGCAATGTCTAACAGGAAAATGTTAAAAGTACGAAATAATTATTGTGCAGCTGATGTAAAAGGAGTTATCTCTCAATGGACTGGTATAGAATGGCCTTCAAATATGTTAGGTAAAAAGTGCAAGGTGCTGAAGAGACATTAACAACTATATAAAAACAAGAAATACACCTACTCGGATTGTTTTACACAGAATTTCTCTACTTTAGGCACTGATGACAATGGTCGACTTTAGAGAGGGTAAATTAGGAATGGGAATAGAGATATGTCGTTATTTTGGTACCTGTAGAAAAATGTCACATATCCACTCAAAAACAAGTTTTTATTAAAAAACTCTACCAAAAGTATTAAAAGAAGCCAAAAACAGTTGTCTCCTAATGCTGTTTCACAAAGTGTGTATAATAGTAACTTGCTGAGAAATGTCTAGAAAAACTCAAAACATTTTCTTTATGAATATAGTTTTGGGATACGTAGGAAGTTGAATTAGGATTTTCAAAGAGAAAAAAAAAGGCCTCTGGGAGAACTTCCTATTAGGGATTCTGCTGCTGTCACTCAAATCTGGTATTTTCAACTCAGAAACCACTTGATTGCCCATGTAAGCCCAAAGATGACAGGTACATGAGTTGGATCCACTTCTCTAGGCACTTGGGCTTCATCTATGTAACACTGCTAATACACCTTCTACTTAACCTTCATCTCTGAGGCTCCTCAGTCTTAAATAGTAACCCTATGGTTGTTAGGTGTCACGTGATTTTATAGCTCGCGGATGACATCATCTTGGTAAAAACTCACTGGTAATGTCTGATAGCAAGAACAAATAAGGAACACCATCACCACATCATGGCTTTTGGAATGCGGGGAGAGTATCACAGAGGAGAAAAAGACAGGTTCTCTGAAACTTGGTCAAAGTTAATAAGGATGTCATTAGGCTGCAGATTTTGTCAAGAACGGGGTACCTCTCTTTGTGCAATGTTTTATTAGTTTTTGGTCTATCAATCCATTTTCAATAAGCACTATCTATATGGTAGAACAGGCATTCTAATGTTTACTATGGACTTACATAGTCACATATAAAGCTCTATTAAAATAAATAGGTATTTGGGGAAATTAGTTTCCATATATATGGAAAATGATTTAATATATATATCATATGTAGGTATTTATGTTGGCCATACTATATACTTATTTCAGCTTTTAAATTATTTTTAAAAGTAGGCAGTCTCTTTCCATGGTTCAAAACTAAAGGCATTTAAAATGATCAGCAGGGTCTCCTTCCAACCCTTTCCCCCCAGCTTCCCATCTCACTAATGCTATTATTTCTGACCTTTCTTGACATTACATACATATGCAAACACAATTCCTTTTACTATAACATATTCCTTACTACCAACTTTTTAATGAAAAGTCAGAGTATTGGTATAACCAATCAAAATGTTTTCCTGAACAAGGATAAATTTGTAAGTATTCATTCATGGTTATGATTATCTCTCCCAAACTGAGTTTCTCTCCTTTGCACCTCATTTCTTCACTGTTACATAATCGTCATCTCATAAACTGAGGCCATAAAATACTCTCTGTGATGGTGCTGCCCAGGGGCAGACGTCACAAAGGGATCAACTTCCATGAGAATCTTGTAAGTCTCATAATTACAGGAGAAAATGATACTCCTTTCTCAATATTACAAGGAATTATTCTAAAATGCATTAACTGGAGCTCTTGACCCACCAATATCTATAAAACTACAAACTTTCACCTGATTTGAAATTACATTCCTAACGACCAGTGATTAATTTGGGGTAGTGGTGGAAGGGGTCGCCACTACCTTTGTGAAACCATCAAACAAAAACACCTATCCACTCCTTCTGGACATAGACATGGTTGCTGACGAACATCAGGTGATTAACGCTTCATCTTGCTAACAAGCCAAGGCGAAGGGATCTGTTGAAGAGGTTATATGTTTCATATAAGGAAGGAAATGATGAAAAGAATTAATTAGATGCTAGGAAAAGTGCTAGTTATGTGGAAAAAAAAAAACTGAGTAGCTGACTGCTGAAACTATTACTTTAAATCTCAATGTAAATTGTATGAGAATCTGTAACTTGACCAATTATGGTAGGTATAAAATATACTCTCTCAATCTCATCACAGTAAATGATTCTGCTCTTTTATTATCTGTTTGTAGAAATTATATGCAGGTAATTTAATTGAGTCTTTTTTTTAAAGCAGCATAACAATTGAGAAAAAAATTAAAACAAGATACTGAAAAATACACTTCATTGAAAAATAATCAAAGACAATCTGCAAATTAGCTGAGAAACTAACAGAATAGCCAGGGGAAACAGAAGCTTCCCCAGCAGCCAATTCAGACAGTGATGGTTTCTTTTCCATTCACAGGAACAAAGATGATACTGGATCCTGGCCAATTTTCATGGAAGAATTTCATTCATTTTCTTTCTCAAATGTTTTATTTAAAAAATTATATAAAAGTATGTTTTAAATGAACTACACATTTAGATGAACATAAATATTTTCCAGTTCCTTGAAATGGGTAAGAAAGTGGTAACACAAACCTATGAAACCTCACTATAAGACATGTTCTCAAATATACAAGAATCTACTGTAGCTGAATTTCCCTCCCGGGGACTCAAAGATTAATAGCAATTTTTACTCTTTTAAAGCACTTTTCTTGTAAAGCTTTTACCTGTAAGTTTTAATGCCTTTCAAATGTTCTGCTGAAATTATCTTTAGGAACAAAAAGTTTTCTTCAATCATTACTCCTTTTATGGAGTCCTCTCTTTAAATGAAAATGGGATGGGGCCTCCCCTGGTGGCGCAGCGGTTGAGAGCTGGGCTGCGAAGCTGCCGGCAGCCTCTGCAGCGCCAGTTCGATACCCGGCTGCGGGGCGAGGGTCCCACATGGCGCAGATCTCTCCTTCTACCCTCTGCTCTCCCCTCTGGCTCTGGTGAATTTGCTCACCCTCCCGTGCTTCTGACTGTACCCAGTGCTTGTGTAAATAAATAAATAAATCTTTAAAAAAAAAAAAAAAAAAAAAAAATAAATGAAAATGGGATGTCTCATAGTAAGAAATGTATTACCTCACAAGAAAGATCATCTACTGAATGACTCTAGGATTTCCTATCTATTCAGCCAGGTGGCAAGCTTTCTTATTTTTTAAAGGGACAAAAATTTGGTGGCACGCTGACACTGTAGTCAGGACTGTGATTTAAAAGTACCAAGACTAGAATCACAGTTAACATACAATTCATGAACAGATTTAGGGGGACATAATTACAGAATAATCCACAATTCATTGGCACATATGACCTTTGGTCTAACAACAACAACAAAATGAAACATAAGCAAGACTGAATGTGTTGAAAATGAGAGTAATAAAGTCACATAAATGTTATGTGATATTTATGATATATGATTATGAAATGGAAACCAAATTGGACAAATAGAAAGAATGCTCAACCCATAAATTGGACACTATTTGGTAAAAACTTAATATGTACTTTCAAAAATCCACCCAAAAAGACTTCAAATTTCATTTATAAATTGCTAAATCTTCTAATAAATGTGGTATTTGTGATGAAGCACTGTGAATGTTCATAATATCGTATAACTGTAAAAGGTTTGTGAGAAAATAAGAGATTTACAAAGACATACAATTTCTTATTAGTGCAAATTGGCAAATTTTATTTAAACCTAATGAATTCATGTAAGATTAGACTGCATGTCTCAATTATGGGGTTTCACTAATCCTGAGGGATGATATTGTGGCACTACCTTGTAGGTAAATGTGCCTCGATTAGCGTTGTTAGCAATTCTATCACAAAACCCTGTAGGCAGCAGTACCTCCCACCAATTTCTTGTTGAGCACTACTCTCTCATAAAGCCTGCAGAAGTTTCAGTGTTTTCTTTTCAGGTTGGCATGATACAAATGGCAGCAGACAAAAACAATGTTAAAAAAAATAAACCAAATAAAAGGCTGTACACAAGAACTTATGTTTATTGCAAACAAAAACAAAAACGAGAGAGAGAGGGAAAGAAAGAAAATGGTCAGAAGCACAACATATAAGGTTAAGAATTTAAAAGCATCTTACATTCTGCCCTAATGGCAGCATAATTAATAGGAACAAACGGCCGTCTTGCTGCCTGCCGCAGCCGGAGGGTATTTTTGCAGACCTGACGAGCAAATTTTGTGAAATATGTAGTGTGAAGGAAGAAAGCTTGGCGGGTCTTCACGGCAGACTTTGGGCTCCCGGTGTTTCGGACCGGCATCCCCTGCATGGCCTGGCGGGACATGTGACTTCTAACACGGGAGTCCTGCAAAATAGACACCAACAAACGTAAAGAGGAGAACGTGCCAAAACAGCAGCACTACTTACATCACCCTTAATGAAAAACACAATTTTGAAACCTTCCGCTGAAGCACCTTTAACTAAATGCAATACCCTGTCCCCAAAGGAGAGGACTGCGCAGTGTGTAGTACTGGGAAGGAGAAGGGGAATGCAGAGGGAAACTGGGAGGGAGGGGAATGTGATCACACACTTCTGTTTTTAAATTAACCCTAGCAACCCGAAATCACAATCACAACAGCAAAAAAAAATAAATAAATAAAAATAAAAATAAAAATCACTAATGTTGAAGGAGCCCTGAGATGAGTTTAGTACTCAAAAATAGCCTCCCCAGGTAGACATAGGTATATCTTCGATCTCTGAGAATTTTACCGAAGTCACATTTCAACTGTTGATGGCCTCACCTGCTGAGCCCATGACAGCCCTGAGGCGGAAAAGATGCTCAATTTGTATTTGTTACTTCATATAAGACACATTTTCCAACAGTATTTAAAGGTTGCATTTCAAAAAAAGCAATTAACACAAACATTTAATTTGGAAGCTCTCTACATCTCCTACACACATTGTTCTCCTTTTGTCTGAATAATCTCACAAAATCAATATTTTGAATACCTGAAAATTTTTTATTTGTCCCTAGACCATTCTCCATCACCACAATGAATATTGTGGTGCTGTTTATCTATAAAAATAACTTTGTTTTTAAATTATCCCATACTGTACTTCTGGTTTCCAAGGTGTGATCTAGCCACTGAAAAACATGACATTTCTCTAGACTCCTCTCCACCCCCAAAAGGACTATTGCTTCTGTACCTCTGTAGTCGGGCTAGGAGATAACTTCTCTTCTTCTGACTGGGTGGGCATTTTCAGGCCTCCGTATTTTTTCCAATAAAGCCAACAGGTTGCACATAATCTACACTGCATGTTGGGGGGGCCCCAAGAATACCACTGATGAGACTGCGTAGCTAAAAGATATAGGAAAAAGCAAATAATGCTATAATATGAAATATTAATATACATATAACCAAATATTTAAAATAATATCCCAAAGCCATCTTTTGTTTACAATGCTATTTTTCTTTCCCTAGCTTAAAAGCCAAATGTGAAAATCTAACACATATACATAGATTTTTCAAGACTCAGAATTAAGTAAGTCATTTCTATCTATATCTCAAGTACAGTAGGTGAAACATCCTTCATTATACAGTGTGCTGCCTAGGGAGGTTTTATTAATTTAAAATGTTTCCATTTTGTAAATTTCCAGAAGTAAGTTATCACAAAGGCATTATTATTAGTGTTTAAAGTTTCCAAACCCATGATTCAAAATCAGGATAATTTTGCTCAAAGGGGACCCACTGATAGACAGGAATCTAATAGAAACAGGTCTATATCTGCTTTCCATTCCTTTATTTTAATCAAAAGACAAAATAATGATTTTAATATTCTCCCTTTAAAAACAGAATCCTTTTCAAAACTGGAAGTCCATATCAAGTTAGCACTACACAGCTGAGCTCACAGCATGCTTAAAACCTAATGATTCGGTTGATTTATCACTTTGCAAAATACTGCAAGCCTGGGTTAGTTTTGTTCTGCAGTTTAAATTACTGTCATATAGCATCTAAAGTCCCACCATGGATCTGAAGTTTAAGAAAGAAAACACTCATGTTAAAACATTAAGTTAATGAGGTACATAAATCATTGTAGTTCTATAAATTAGCCTTGGAAAATATTCTTCCCCTGGATCTGTAAGTTAACTTACCCAGTTCAAGATGCTCAGATAGCACATCAAGGCATTAACACTTCACAAACCAATGTCAGGAAGAGGAAATACAGCGGCCACCATAATCAAACTGCCTTTTAGTTTGCCAAGAATAACACTGTACACCTTATACTCTCTGTCGTGTTATTTTTGGAGGGCTCCTGGCAAACAGCAGCCTAAAGACCTTTCCTCTTATGATCTAAAAATCGGTAACAAATGTGTTTCTTGTTACATAATTAACTCACAGTCAGCTAAAAAGTAACAAATAGAAAACACCAAATTCTGTCTTTCCACAAAAATTGTCTTATTTGTATTTGTATATTAAGGTATAGTTTATGATTTATTATTTAATATATGAATCTAAAATATTATAAAATATTGCTTATTCGTCATGCACACATAAAAATAACTAAAGAGGTAAGTGAAACTACATTTGATTCTGAAAGGGGTTTGTAAATCAAAAGTAAAACAGATAAAAGCTACTACCATTTGTCTATAGGATTCTTTTTATTTTCACTTAAATATACATGAAACTCCAAAATCTAAGAATTCCCAATTCAAACACTTTCATGATGTGAGCTATATAAAGTCTTGACCAAAAGAATCTAATTTTCCACAAACTGTTTCCCTTTGTGTCCCCGTGGTGCAGAGGGTGGTTAGATACGTACCATTTCTATGAAGTCAGTAATTCTCTGGCTCACACCTTCCTTGGTCTCAGGGGAGATAATTAGATGATTTGGTTTTAAAAGCATTTTCTAATGCTTAAGGCTGGTGTGGAGCAAGGAGCAAAGTGGCAAACTTCCCTTATCCCTACATGTTAGGGCAACAGACCACATCCACCCCAAAGAGCTGCTAAGAGACAAAAACTGGGCACCAGTTTTAGTTTCCTTCCCTCTTCCACTCAAACCACATTGATAGGAAGGAAACACAGGTGATAATGTCACCAATAAGTAAGAGATTTTATATTGTGTGAGATTTTAAATAAACATTAAAAAGTTTATCACCTACCTAATAGTTGACCTCCCCAACTCAATTTAGCACCTAGGGCAAATATAAATAATACCATCCACCTCTGGTAGGTCTCTTGACATGAACAAATACTTTGGGACCCTGAGACCAAAAGCAAGTCTCACAGAATAGTACTCCCTAAACTGGTGCCTAAGAAGAACCCGGTCTGGGATTATAAACAGCAGTTTGTCCACACACAGGTCTTTCCTACATAGAATTACTTGAGTCTTTAACTTGTCAAAGTATAACAAGACACACTAAAGGGGCTCTTGGTAGCTTTCATGGGACAGTAACAACTCTGACAGCAGCCTTAAAAATGCTGCCTTGGTGCAAGGGGTTAAGACGCAACCTATGAAGCTGTCCGCAGCCACTGCAGCACGAGTTTGATCCCCAGCCAGGGAACTACTCACATGGCACAGCAGACCTCTCCTGACTCGCCCGCTGCTCCCCTCAGCTGTGTATTTCAGTCAGTCTGCCTGTTCTGTTCTCCACTCTGTCTCTGGTGAATCCTCTCACCACCACCCCCACCTCTGGCCTGTACCCCAGTTCTTGTATACAAAAATAAAATAAATCTTTAAAAAAAAAAAAGAAAGAAAGAAAGAAAGAAAGAAATATGTATCTGGACCTATTGGAATGAAATTTACAAAAAAAAAAAGCTGCCTTGGAATAGCCAGCCCACACAGGACACCGTAGAAGTGAGGCAAAGGAAAAACAAGGTCAAAACATGTCGTGTCCAGGTGCAAGGTGAGGATGGGCTTCTCTCCTTCTTCAGAAACTGTACTGCTTTGTGCAGGACCCACCTCTCCCCCTTCCCACGCCCTCCCACTTTCCTGAACTTCACCCCAAGGTAGGCCTCAAGCCAGAAAAGACAGCCTTGTTGGAGAAGACTTACCATAGCAGCTCTCACAGGCTCGCCCCAAAAGAGGATTCTGTGGCTGGAATGTGGTTCCCACAGCTCCATTCACAGTGCCAGGCTTACCATTGCTTGTGGATATTTGGTTGGGATTTGGTTTGCTGCTTTCAATAAAATATAAAGTGAGGTGATAAAAATGGCATGTATAACAAAGACAAAAGACTTTATACCCCATTACTGATTTAACAACACATCAATATCTGAATGTTTGGTGAAGAAAAAAACAAACTGGTTAAAGTGTTAAAAAGAACCCAAACCATTCATCTTTATGAAACACGGCTATGTAAAAACTATTCTTATGCCTGACACTCACAAAATAAATACAGCCATATCTCTTCTCTATCCAAATATGATTTCCTTACAATATGCTGATATTTTTGAAAGATAAATATTATTAAGCTTTATTACGTATCACAAATTCTCCTAAGAAAATGATATTTTTGATCATATAAATTAAGCCAAAGGCAGTGTGCTCTGTTCAGAGAAAATCATGCTCCCATTCCTGCTGCTGGTGTGAGAACTGCTAACTCTACCCACTGACTCTGGAGGGAGCTGCCCAAGGGCCACACGTCCAGGCCAGACAGGTACATTAGCATTTCAGAAGATTTAAACTGCTCACCATAACTTCTATTACCATGAATGTGTATGAGACTATACACAGCACTTGAACATACAAAAACTAATAAATGTATTCTGAGGATTTGCATTTAGAATATAAAATTTTTGGAGGACAAAAGGAACATCTATTAAAAGTCTACATGCAAATTCCCCAGAGCTGTAATTCTTCACCCAAGGTAGGGTGTGTCTCCGATTATCTTTGTCCTTAATGTGGAAACATGGCCAGCTTCCTCATCTAGGATACGCTAACTCACTGCGGATCAGCCATGAATCCGCATACACAGGTACATACAGCACGTGCTCAATAAACTCACTGTTCATTTAGCATGTATTTATCCAGTGCCTAGAGTAAACGAAAGTGCCTGACCTCAAGGAGTTTTCATTCTAGAGGCGCTTTCATGTCTACTGCTAGAGAGAAAATAAGCAAAATAAATTAGCAAATTATTTATTAGAAATAAATGCTGATGGACTGAATGCAGACTGTCTTACTGTGCTTCAGATACAATGAGAATTCACAACTATCAAGACATTTGAGTTTCAACATAGATGGCTCAGTGTTTCCTCTTTGTTGCTTCCCTTTCCCGCAGTTCTGTTTACCAGTGAAATCCTAATATGTAAACCTAACTTGATAGCAAATTAAGGTTTCTCTCTAACACCGCTGCTCTGCCTCATAGGTGACACCTCACCACCGTCCCAGAAGGAATCACTTAACCCCTGTGAACACTGAGGTCCCTATGTAAAGAGGGGTATTATTTACACTTTGAGCCAGCAATGTGTTTTGAAGACAGATTAGCATTAAAAACACATTTTCAACAAGGCAGAATTGTTTATCTTCTTACAGTTTTCAGTTGAAAACATACACAATGAAAAGTGATGATTTAGAATAACCAAGATTTCCAGGGATATATAATAATACTCTTGATTTTAAAAAATATACTGCATATAAATGATGGATCAAATGACTGAGAAATTGTCAGAAGGCTTCCCAGAAATACAAAAATCCTAAACTAATGGCTAAATATAAATGTTGAAATGGAGCTGATACAAATCTACAGTAGAGCTACCTGGGGAAAAAAAAACCCCACAAATTTAGGTATTCAACTGAATCTATATCATCCTTTCATTTACTAAACCACTCGTCTTAATTATAATAATCTTAAAAGGAAAACATATGTAAAGGCTGACTATAGATTTAAAAATGTGCTAAGAAAACTAAGTACCTACAGATTCTCAGGGGACTAATGATTGATCTCAATGTGACCATTTGAATAAACATTTACTGTAAGACAAATATTTGAAAAAATGCTTTCAAAGCTGCATTATATGAAACTGCCCTTACTTTTACCTCATGCCCAAATCTTTCCTCCTCTCAACAGTGTTCCAGATTTCACTCTCCAGCCCTCTTGAGAACTTTCCCCAATAGATTCTCTTTCCTGGAACCTTCCCATTATCATGTAAACATTTCTGCCATTTAAAAAACTCTCCCATGGCCCTATCCCAACACACACACACACACCCCCACTCAAGAACACTCTCAACTGCCCTTTCGACAGTTTTCTTGAGAACTGTCTGTATTCCTCAGCTTATACGCAATCCTCACCAGTACATTAACAGTCACCATGATCTCTGTTTGTTGCTGAAGTCCTTGGCAATGTCTTACCAGCACTATTAAGCACAATATGACACTACTAAGCTCTTTCCCTCTTTGAAATACATTTCTTCAGCTTTTGTGAGAATGCACTCACCTCCAGATCCCTTTTTGCTACCATACTCTGATATATAAGCACTGAATTTACTCAAGACTTGATCCAAGATCCTTTTTCTTAATGCACTCCCTAAGAAATTTCATCCATAGTTTCAAAATCAGTATTAAATGCTGATGAAAAGCTCAAAGTTATAGCTCTAGCCTAAACTCTTCCCTGAGTTTGGCAGCATATTTAATATACCCCCTTTTGAATAGTGCAAACTTGAAATGACCTAACTTGTTCTCTGCCACAGTTTCTTAGCTTAGTGAGCAGCATAGCAATCCACCTAGTTATGCTAGCCAGACACCCCCTTCTAGCCTCCACACCGAGTTAATCACCTCCAAACAGCACACCATGTCCAGGGCCACTACTCTGTCACGCTCCTACTCTGTCACACTCCTCTCCAAGAACCTCAAGTCCTTACACCCACTCTTCCTCTCCCCTTCTCCAGACCATTTCATGGTACAGCCAGTGTTATTAAAGTACAAATTTGATCATGACACTTCTTTGTTTAAATCTGTTTCTACTGTTCACCAAACTAGGTAAGCTCGTGGCTCTTGCCTACCCTACCAGCCCTCCTTCCCTCCAAGCTTTCTCTTTTTATGCCAGCCACATTGTCTTTTCCTCAGCTCCTCAACTATATTCTGCCCCTTCCCATCTCAAGATCCCATAGGTCTGGAAGCTTCTACTAGAGTTAATTCCTCTTCATCATTCTCCAGAGTTCATTTAAATTCACTTCCTCCAGAAACCTTCCAGACAGTGTCGACTGAGTTTGGTCCCTCCAGTATAAATTCTCCTAAAAGTTATTCTTCTGAGGCCTTGCTGGTGGCCTAGGGGTTGGGCCTCAGCACCATCACACTGTGGCCTGAGTTCAATTCGTGGCCAAGGAACTAACCTACATGGCACAGCAGACCTCTCCAGGCTCGCCCGCTGCCTATTTCTGTAGATCCACCTATTGTGCCCCCCACTCTGTCTCTGGTGGGTTCTCTCTCTCTCTCTCTCTCTCTCTCACACACACACACACACACACACACACACACACACCACACACATACACACCCCACCCCGCACCACTGGCCTACACCCCAGTTCTGCTATGCAGAAATAATTTTTTTAAAAAAATGTTATTCTTCTCAACTGTAGTACTCATCACACTGGGTGACTAGCTGTTTGGCATCTTTCTCCCTGCAAGAGAATATAGGCTGCAGAAGACAGCCTGTCTTCTTAATCTTTCTAACTCTAGTACTGAACAGGATGCTCTCATATAGACCTGCCAAGCTCAAACGAATGACAGAATAAAATAATTCTTGATCTGTTATTTGTTTTAAAATATTTCATTTCACAGTCAATTGGAAAATTTTTCAAAGTGTTCAGATTCTTACCCAACTCAGAAATGCAGCTTCATCTAGTCTATTTATGTATATAGGCTTATATAACTTTTTTTAAAGTATGATTAGAAACTCTGTCTTGATCTCTAAAACCATTCACTTAAATCAGGCATTGGCATAGTAACCTTTGTGGATATTGTAATTTCTGCTGCAACCACTGAACTCTGCCATTGTAGCACAAAAGCAAACCTAGACAAGACATAAGTGAGCATGGTCGCATTACAGCAACACTTGGTTTACAAAAACAGGTCAGTCAGATTTGGCCTGGAGACTATAGTTTGTTGGTCTTATGACTTAGAACAAAACTCCAAGGTCAATGCAAAGAGAACAGAAATAATTATCTGGGTTAGCTCTTCAAAACTGGTTCAGTGTTATTTTTCCTCTGCTGTGACACACTGCATAGCACAAGAAAGTTGGTGTGCTTGCTTCTGAAAGTCTAAGACAGGTGGATCACAACAGTGCTTTCTTTAGGGAATGGGTCTTTTATAAACTAGTCAAATAAAATATATAATTTTCTAAAATATTAGAAACCACTCTGCAGAAGGACATTATAGCTGAGTTAAAAATTATGGACCCTGTAAATCACATGTTTTTAAAATTAAGCTAGAGTTATCTGCTTGAGGTAAAAGATGAATAAGAAATATCACAAATCATTATCTATGAATAAAATGTATTATATATAAAAATATGTATTAACATATCAAAATTCAGTAAAAAAAAAATGCTGGGTATAAAACAACTGTACTGAACTCAAAGAGTAAGGAAAAATCTTGGGACACAAAACTCTGTAGTAAATTTCATTTTAATTCCCAAAGACCGTAGGATAGCACTATATTTCTGGTACTCAATAAACAAAATTTTCCTGAACAACAGAACTCTTAAAGATCTGAAGAAAACATTATAATTCATTTAAAACAGCAAGCAGTGCTTGCTTCAGCAGCACACATACTAAAATTAAAACATAGCAAACAAAAAAATAAGAGGCATTCATTTGGATAGGACAATGCTTTCTAAATTCAAAGGATGATACTGACTGAAGGCCAGGCACTAGAAACAATCAAACACCTTTATTTCTCCAACGTGTACAAAAGTATGGTCCTGATTACTTTCTCAAGCCTTTCCCCCAAGCAATGCACACTACCCAAACAAAACCCACTCTATAACAAAGAAATTTCAAAAGTTGTTAGCTTTCTGAAACACATTTGCTTCAAACTACAGACTTTCCTGACACTTTTCTGCATTTGATGGGGGAGCAGACATGGCATTCTTCCTTGCTACTCCTTTTGTTAGTGTCTACCCGGGGTCTGTCTTACAAGCCATCTTCTTTCTAAAAAAAATCACTCTAGGAATACAATGCAAAGCATGTCTCATTCTTTGAGTATAAGAAATTTTGCTCAAACTGACCAACATGACGTATTTTGTATTGACAGAATTAACACCATAACAAATATTTTAAAATATCTCCACTACTTACTAAGTTGGGATATATACTTGTTTCAGCTTACTTTCAGCTTCTGCTGCTTTTAGACGTTTCTAATTCAAAAGAGAGATAAGACATTTTACATATAATGCTTAATAATTATTATAAACTCACTGTCTTTAAAAAATCAAAACAGTGAAATATTCAAGCATAATTCAAAAATTACCACTTTTAGACTGGCTTTTCTTTCATGTGCATTTCTTAAATTGTAGCAATCTGTAAGCAAAGCCACTAGATTCTGAGGTATAGTACTACAAGCATTAAAAACATCTTAAACATGCATTTAAAAAACTAAACCAAGAACAACTTCATTTCCCATTCCTCTGTGAGTGAATCCACAGGATTTCTAAGAAAACATTTTTACTTTTCATATTTAATTTCTACTTTCTTTCTTTCCTTACTTCTGGGAGGAAAAAACCCACAATCCTTGTCTTTGGAAAAAATATTCAGAGATGGTTAGTTTCCAAAGTCTATGCAAAAGAAATAGTAACTACTCTAAGTACAATTAAATAACCATTTACCCTCAAATGGTGGGAGATAGGCAGTAAATTTTAAAGCTTGGCTGAACTCACATCATATTTTAGGAACCAATTAGGAGTCAAATGCAAGGAAAGGAATGGGGAAAAAAAATCATACATATATCTATAAATCTTATATATACTAAAAAAAAATCCCTCACTCTCTGAATGCAGAGTGGAAAACAATGAATGCAAATGAAGAAGAAAAAAAATATATGTTAGATAACCAACACGAAGACAAACCAGAATATAAGGTAATCTTTCATTTTCTCATTGAGAAGAAAACAAACATTAAAGGGAACAACTTAAAACTTTGAGAGACAAAATTGAAATTTTTGGAAATAATTTTATCCAAATACTTTCATACTATCCCTGATACCATCACCTCAATCATCTTTACAGACTCCTTTATTGCTTTAAACAAAACTTATTTCCAGAGTACATAGCCTCTGTTTGAAATTAGCACCTTTTGAGTTATAAGACATTGATACCAAAAATTATTCAACGAGCCATGGGCACTTTATTCACTATTCATATCTCAACAACACAGGATGGTTATTTTTAAAGTGATCCTTAAGTGTATTTTTATAGTATCCAAGGTGTGCCACTATATGATCACATATTTAGGAAAAATAATGTCTGTGTTAAATATATTTGCCCCTTTCCTTACCAGTTCTGGCATGTGACCAGAAGTATATAAAAACAAGTGCCAACTGAGAGAGGACACTTCAGGAAAATGTACCTTTCTCCAAAAGTAGTACTATTCAAAATAAAAACCTCAATTTGGGACATTTCAGAAGCATTCAAAAGTAAATAACACCCTCCTTTCAGAAATAATTTTGTAGAAAAATTTATGTACAGTACCAAAGACTCAAATTAGTAAGATTAACTACTACAGTTAAGATCAAAGACTTGGGGGATATATTCACACAAATGTTACACAGAGGATTTTTAGGTGTTTCAAAATAACTCAGATTGTATGGCTGATGGCATGGGTCTACATTTTCAATAGTTCATAAAAATAACTTGTTCAAAAGGCTGTGCTGGCATCACATCTTAGGTCATTCCTGCCAACTTTCCTCATTACCCAAAGACGCACCAGCTACCTGAGAGGAAAGTAAAGTGGTCACTCTGCCTGTCATCTTTCTAAAATATTTGTCATAATGAATTCTGAAGTTTAATATCAAGACTAGAATCATGTTAACATAATGTTTTAAAGGTAAAAAAATCATGCAGTTTAAAATAGTTTAAATAGTCTAGAACAGACAAAGCAAAACAAATTTTAAATTAGATATACTGCTAAGAAATATTAAAATATAAACAACGTTCACTTAAACGCAATCATATTGGTCACAGTATGAAAACAATTACCTGCTGCACATATCTGTCAGTAGTTTTCCACATGTAATAATATTCAATGATGCTAGTCAACGATTTCCAAGGGAGCTGAAAAAAGAAATTAACATTAATGAAGACAAGTTACTGCATAAACTGCTTTCTTTTAAAACCACTTCTTTAAAATGAGGCAATATCCACATGGAAGACTGGTTCCAGAAGAAATGTTTGAATAAATTTAAGAGAATTTTTAGCAAAGGTTACCTTGAACAGGTTAGAGAGTTGAATACAACACACTACATATTTTGTTTAAAAATTATAAACATAACGACTGACAGTATTTCATGACTTAGGAAAGTTATTCTTGGGCTAGAGGTGGGGCTGAAGTACAATTTTTATAAAGGATTTAGCCTGAGTTGCTTAACTTCCAAAGATGCTAGCTACAATTGGGTGTCATTACATCTCCACCGTATTTTCTGTCCTCTTCAAAACTGCTCTATTTTTACTTACTTTGTTATACATAAATAAAAACCTAAATCTCTAAAAAGTGTGGCTCATGGGCCTCCCTGGTGGCGCAGCAGTTGAGCGCTGGGTTGCGAAGCTGCCTGCGGCCTCTGTGGCGCCGGTTCAATCCCCGGCTGCTCCCCGGCCACCGGAGGAGGGTCCCACATGGCGCGCAGACCTCTCCTGCCGCCCGCTGCTCCCCTCAGCAGTGTACTTCGGTCCTTCTGCCTGCTCTGCTCCCCGCTCTGGCTCTGGTGAATTCTCTCACCCTCCCGCACTTCTGACTGTACCCAATGCATGTATGTATAAACAAACAAACAAACAAATAAATAAAACATGCCTCTAAAAAAAAAAAAATAAAAAAAAAGTGTGGTTCATAATTATCCAAAAGTGGTCAAATGAACTACTGAGACCCACAATCAAAGAATATATCCAGTACGTTCCTCTGTAAAGGGAGAAGCTGGTCACACGACATGCAAATCAGGACAAGTCAAGTCTCCATACAAAATGACTGATGCTACATAGCTGTCGCAGCAGATACACAGATAGTGACTCATCACTCTCTCTGACTCCCACCTAACTTTCCCTAATGCACTATTACAAGGGTTAAGGAGTTAAAACGGTGCTTCCCAGAGCAGCCAGGGGTCTGTTAGTGACTTGTGTACAAACTCCATGCCATTCCTTTGACCTCCACATTAAACCCATTTGCTTGGTCTGAGGAACAGATAGAGTTTAAAGAAAGAAATTATCTTAAGTTTAATTGGGTGGCAACTCCAACACTACTTACAAGTAGTGCAGGACAAAATCAGCAGTCACTGGCATTTGCCTTGCAGTTACAGCAAATACAGATTTTCCCCAATCCTACAAGCACGCTAATGGAGTTCAAAATGTCTGAAGGATGGTGTAAGGCGCCTGTAAGGCGAGACCTCACAGGACAGTCACTGGCATGGTGCCCTAGCGTTTTAAGCAAGCTAAGACTGCTTCAGTTCCAAAGTACTTCTCTTTCGAGAAATAGCCCCTGGTATGCAATTGCACAGAAGGCTGAGAAAAGGAAACCAAACGACTTTGTAACCTGAGCCTCACTGTGAGCCACATTTTATCTAAACCAACATGTCCTAATCAGCTGTGCTCTCAGCAGCACCACTCTTATCAAGGAGAAGTGAAGGTCAAGGAGGCAGGTGTAACACATCCCAGTCTATCTACTCTCAATGCAGCATCATTTCTTCTCCACTGTCACTCACAGCTTCAAGGGAGTTCCCTTTGACATGTCAATTAAAGAGGAAAAATTCTACTATGGCAGATGGCATTGTATGATACACTGGCACTAACCAGAGTTATACTGCCAAGCATTTCAGCCCCAAGCAGGAGTGGATTTGAAGCACAGTGAAGAAAAGTGAAGGGAGATCCTAATGGAGGACAGAACATTAGGGTGAACATTTGGTTGCCTACTTAGAGTGGAAGAGATGGCCAGAGGCACTAATCCATAACCACTGTGTTATTTAACTGTCACAATGAACATGGCAAAACCAAGAAAGGAGTCAGATTAGAGGATTCCTAACTCTGAGGCTTTGGAAAGAGGCTTGTGGGAATGGCAGTTTGGGATGGACTCCCTCTGTAAAGGATGTTTTCATTTGGTGACTAAGATTGTCTTCACTGTGGCTATCAGTCTTTCCCTAGTCGTCCAATGATGGCTCAAAGGATACATAAACACGTGAACACAGAGGCAAGGAGACAGATCATACATGGTACCACCATGTGGATGTCCTCTCACCCAATCTGATCTGACTACTCCAGGTGACCAATCTGTGAGGAGCAAAGCGCACTGGCCTCCGATCTGGCACCACTCCTTTTATTTAAATTTTATTTCTATATTCCCCATACAATTACAACCCCCTTATTTTGACCCCAAGCCCTCCTTTCCCCGCCCCCCACCCCCCATAGAGTGTCTTTGGTTCATAGTTGTTTGTTGATTTTGTTATTTTCTTTCTTATAGTTATTTTTTTTCCTGGTCCCTTATTTAAGTTTTCTAGATTCCTGCTATGAGTGAGACCATCCGGTATTTTTTTTTCTTTCTGGCTTATTTCATTGAGCATGATCCCTTCCAGCGCCATCCATGTTGCTGCAAATTGCATGTGTTTATCTCTTTTGAATGCTGAGTAATATTCCATGGTGTATATGTACCACATCTTCTTGATCCAGTCATCTGTTTTTGGGCATTTGGGTTGTTTCCAAAGCTTAGCTATTGTAAAAAGGTGCTGCTATAAACATAGGGGTGCAGGTGCTCTTTGGAATTGATGTTTCTGTGTCCTTTGGGTAAATACCTAGGAGTGGAATTGCTGGATCACATGGAAGCTCTATGTCTAGTAGGTCAAGAAATCTCTACACAGCTCTCCATAGTGGTTGGACCAGTTTGCACTCCCACCAGCAGTGCAGGAGAGTTCCTTTTTCTCCACACCCTCGCCAACATTTGTTGTTGCTAGTTTTTTTAATATGTGCCATTCTCACTGGTGTAAGATGGTATCTCATGGTAGTTTTGATTTGCATTTCCCTGATGACAAGTGATGTCGAACATTTTTTCATATGCCTGTTGGCCATTTGCAATTCCTCTTCAGAGAAGTTTCTTTTTAGCTCTTCTGCCCATTTTTTGACTGGATTATTTTCTTTGTTGTTGTTGAGTCTCATCAGCTCTTTGTAGATTTTTGTGATCAGTCCTTTATCATTAGGCACCACTCCTTTTAATACCTCAGTTATATTAGACTCTCAGCATACTGGAATAGCAGTTATCTATTTGTAGTGAGTTAACAATTATTCTAAATATGATTTGCCTTTTCTGTCTGTAATGCAGACTAATACCCAAAGAACACTGAATCTAATCCAGAGCTCAGACCCCTCAGGAATGAAGGTTTAGGTCACTTATCAGACTAAGAATTCTGGACATCTAGGGAGGACAATAGTGGGGAAATTTGATTTTGAAAGCCAACAAAGAATGAGTTTCAGAAATGGAAAAAACACTAAAGAAGCTACACACACACACACACACACACACACACACATTTCTGCCCTTGCTTGGTATAATTATTTTCCTTCTATACCTTAATTCCCTTTCTATTTTTATATAAGGTTTATAGATGTATACTGCTTTCTCCCTTTATCATCAGAGATCCAGTTGGAATACTGTTAATCTGGGAGGCCACTCCTGAGTCCACTGGCACAACTAATAGTTTCCTTTCTAATATTCCCATACTTGTCACACTACATATTTCACTTGGGAGTATGTATTTCAATCTCTTGGTCTTGACAATGAACTCATTCCCTAGAGTGAGGACTTTGTTAGATTTCTGGTGTGTGCCTAGCACCTGCTGTAGCTAGTGTTGAAGGCCTGGCATGGTGTGGGCGCTCTATAAACAGATGTTGAACGGAACAGCTTGATTCCTAGAACATAAAGTGAGCATGCCACACTCACTGCAAGGAAAAGCGGTCTCATGTCAGTGTTTCTTACCTTCTGCTCCTTCATCAGACCTGCAGATTTTGTTCTTCAGGGGGTTTTGTTTTTGCAGTTTCTATCTAGTGGTATTGCTATGTAACAGTAATAACTCCTATATTAATAACATTGCATTAGTGTACTATTCTATTTGAAGCTAAATGCCACCAATGCATTTTAAATTTTCAGCTGCACATCCTAAATGAAAAGATCTACCAATCTGGGTATGAGTGAAGTCTTCCATTAGAAAAAATGTCAGTGACACTAACAGCTCCAATTATCATATCTGGGATTTCACATAACAACTCATATTGTTAAGTAATAATTCTGCTTCAGAAATAATTTTTGAAATGCCACATCATAAGAGGTAGGATATATTAGTTTACGCCAAATGCTTCAGTCTATAAAAATTTTATTTTCTTAACTAAAAATGAATGACCTCTACCAAAATATATTTATGAAATTATCAAATAGATACTTTTCCATTTCAAAAAAAATGTGAAAAAACTACATAAATATCAAATATTAATATACAATGTAGAAAGACTATATATATATATATAAATATATATAACACAGACATATATAATAGAGACAAAGACAAAAGGAAGTACCTAAAAATCTAGTATTTAAAATGCAAGTAAGATACTGCATATCATTAAGAAGAGCCAAAGATCAAAAACTCATGAAGCCAATTTTCACTCTGCTTTTTATCTTACAATGATAAAGGTCCACATCAAATTCGGGATCAATGGTAAAAAAGGCACCTAGAAAAATATCAGAGGTCTAAAGCAGAGAAACAAGAGTAAACAGCAGAATTCAGAAATATTTAGTGCAAATGGTTAGAAGAGCTGAACCTAATTTAGACCTGGAACTCAGAAAGAGGTAAAGAGGATGTCCAGGTTCAGAGTATGAACTTAGGTCTCCTGACCTTGAGCCTTATTCACAATTACTTCCCAAACAAATATCAAATTCTCCTTCTACTAGACTGCCTTCATTCTATGCTGAGCAGATGAAATTACTGAAAGTCACAGGCTTGCTAAATGAACACGTTAAGGTTTGCCAGATTACTAAAACTGATAAATATTCCCAACCCAACATTTTATTTTATTCATAATCTTCTACTTACAAAGTCTTGACGTATATCGTTGAAGTCTTTGCCATACTTTTCCAGTGCCTCTTCAAATAAACTAGCTTCAGAGGCCGACCATTCTTCCATTTCATCTCTGCATAAAACAGGTCCTCCAAGGGGTACTAAGACACTAATAGCACTGCTCAAATCATAACTGTGTCTGTACAAGGTATCCATAGCATGAAACTAAAGAAAACAAAATAGAGAGAAATGATCAGCCAGAAAGACTAAAATGCATGATGCACTTAATTGACAATTATATCTTTAATGACATTTTAAAAATATGAATATCACTTATTGCTTTAGAAAATGCTGATACACCTTTAAAGGTGTGTACTTATAAAAATACATGCATTTGTTATAGCAGCCTAACTGTGAAGATCAAGGACCTCGAAATATTAAATTGTAAACCCAGCATACTTCACCATGCTTTTGGTTAAAAATACCAAAGTCACTTTAGCTATTCCCCAAGGTTGGCACAACCTTCTTTGACCACGGGGAATGAGATAATTATCAGAGAGTGAGGAAAATTTTTCTCAGGTTGGAATAAGAAAATTATACACTAAGATTAAGATATGGAAAGAAAAAGAATCTGAGCGTGATGGTAAGAAAATAACTATACCTCTATGTTAAACAGACAAAATTATATATCCATGTTAAAATCATAATTTGGTTAAAAATTTTTTTATAGATTTTTTTTGGGTAAAGACTTATCTATTGGGCCTCCCTGGTGGCGCAGTGGTTGAGCGTTGGGTTGAGAAGCTGCCTGCGGCCTCTGCAGGGCCGGTTCGATCCCCGGCTGCCCCGGCCACCGGAGGAGGGTCCCACATGGCGCGCAGACCTCTCCTGCCGCCCGCTGCTCCCCTCAGCAGTGTCCTTCGGTCCCTCTGCCTGCTCTGCTCCCCGCTCTGGCTCTGGTGAATTCTCTCACCCTCCCGCGCTTCTGACTGTACCCAGTACTTGTATAAATAAATAAATAAATAAATCTTTAAAAAAAAAAAAAAAAAAAAAAGACTTATCTATTCATACAAGAGCCGGGGTACAGGCCAGAGATGTGGGGGGGATTCACCAGAGACAGAGCGGGAAACAGAACAGGAAGACCTACTGAAATACACTGCCGAGGGGAGCAGTGGGCGAGCCAGGAGAGGTCCGCTGCGCCACGTGGGTCACCTCCCTGGCTGGGGATTGAACTTGTGCTGTAGTGGCTGCGGATTGCTTCATAGGTTGCGTCTTAACCCCTTGCGCCACCAGGGAGGCCCCTACAGATTATTTTTTTACTTGTTTGTGCATGCAAGATCTGGGGTGTAAGCCAGAGGTATGGGAGGTGAAAGGATTCAGCAGAGACAGAATGGAGGGTAGAACAGGTAGATCTACTGAAATACATTGCTGAAGGGAGCAGTAGGTAAGACAGAAGAGGTCTGCTGCACCATGTGGGATAGCTCCTTGGCCAGGGCTGTAGCTGGTGATAGCTTAATACCGCTGAGACTTTAACCCCTGCGCCACCAGAGCGGCCCTGGTTGAGGTTTTTGAAGACCAAGAATAGATGAACTGGTTTGCTTGAAACAGTTAGGCTGCTGGAGGTTTCCCATATATTTCAAGGGAGAAAGATTTAAAGAGTAATTTTAATGGAGTAAAGATATATTAGGATAGTATAATTGGCTTTCTGCAAAGAAGTACCTTGGACATAGGTTATGTAGAAAGCATTTTCCAACCACCAGAAGCAGTGAATAAAGTAGGTCCCAAAGTTTTAAAAGTTTTAGGTTCTGAAAAACTTTAGATGGTTTTTCTACTGGAGAGGAAGAGATTCATTCATAACATGTGCACACCTATATATGTAACAGGAAAAATTGCTACACAGGACAATCAGTTCTGTCTGTGCCCAAATCAGCACTTAGGTATGGAAAAAATTTGGTCGGCAAGATAATCAAATCCTTGCCAAGGGAGAACTAGATTATTCAAAACTGCTAACATATGAAAGCCAAGCATTATATCTTTTACATTACCCTCTAATATTAAAAATGTCACAAATAAAGTCCCAAATGGGGATAATGTTACAATTATGGGAGATAACACATCTCTTTAAAATATAGCTTATTAAATGGTCACTAAATATCTGGTAGAGAATAGTGGACAGCTCCATACTGTTACAAGGGCATAAACTGAGCTCAAGTATCATCTTACATCTATTGTTCAACTTACATCTATTGAAGAGAAAAAATTATTAGCAAAAAAATATGTCCATGGGGGGCCTCCCCAGTGACCTAAGGGTTAAGTCTCAGTGTTATCACCACAACAGCCTGAGTTCAATCCCTGGCCACAACAGGTTGAGTTCAATCCCTGGCCAGGGAGCTAACCCACACATGGCGCAATAGACCTCTCCTGTCTAACCCACTGCGCCCCTTACCAGTGTATTTCAGTAAATCCACTTCTTGGGCCTCCCTAGTGGCAAAGCATTAAAGTCTCAGGGCTATCAAGCTATCACCAGCCACTGCAGCATGAGTTGGATCACCGGCCAGGGAGCTAATCCACATGGCACAGCAGACCTCTCCTGTCTCGCCCTTGCTCCATTGAGACTTAACCCTTAGGCCACTGGAGAGGCCCTCCTTGGACATATTTTTTTGCTAATTTTTTTTCTCTTCAGTAGATGTAAGTTGAACAATAGATATAAGTTGATACTTCAGCTCAGTTTATGCCCTTGTAACTATATGGAGCTGTCCACTATCCGCTACCAGATATTTAGTGATCATTTAATAAACTATATTTTAAAGCAGTGTATTTCAGTAGATCTGCCTGTTCTGCTCCCCACTCTGTGTCTGGTGAATCCTCTTACCCCCCACACCTCTGTTCTACATCCCAGTTCTTATGCGCATAAATAAATAAAAATAAATCTTAAAAAATATGTCCAGTGCCTGAAAATGTATACTAGTGTACATTAAGACACTGAATAAGGGGCAGAGTATGGATTTGCTGACAGAGCTAAAGGCAGGATACATAGAGATGTTTAGGTACAGTAACTGTTTTAACAAGGGCTGACATCTCACATAAATCATTGAATTCCACAAAATAAAAGCAAGTGGGGATTTCACTATCAATTTCCTAGACCACTGACCATGTGTAGTCATAACTTCAACCTTCAAGAGAATTTCTTCTTACCCTCCCACAACAGGGGTTACAAAATGATAGAAGTGATCTTTGTTCTTTTCTCATGTTCTGCAAACTTCAGCATCAACTGAACTCTACTTCCCTAGCTATTCTTCTCACAGACTTGGCAGTTTAGTTGGAGCGTTCATGTTTAACATCATCTCTGAAACTAAGTAACTGCTGTTTCTGGATAACTTATCCATGAAAAGAAAGTTCAATAGTACTTGGGTCCTTTTAATCAATAATACATCTCTATAAATGGTTATTTTTGAAAACACCTAAATTTACAATGGATAACAAAACTGAAAAAGATTAAATGGTATTCAAAATCAGTAAATATAAAGTTAACTAGGATGCTGAGATCCCTCAGAAGGTAGAAGTAATTTTTATGATTAACAGGTTCTCTGAACTCAAAAGTCATGGATTAAGTGAGTTTTTCTCAGCTGATATTATACCAGCCACTCAAAGCATGAATGGATTTTCAGTCTTTTGTTCATGTTAGATGGATGAAAATGCCTTTTTTATAGGCACTTTTAAAAATGATGATGGGCTGTTACCTAATTAGGTTTCAAAAAACCAAAGCAATATCTTAGCTTTTATAAGTGATTATGACCAAATCATTAGAAGACTAATTCCTGCTGTATCACAAATCAAATGAAAAAAACGGTCAGGCTTTTAGCTCAGAAACCTCCCAAGCCCACATGTATCTCATAGCCCAGAGGAAAGTGCAGTAACAATCAGTATGTGTAAAAAATAAACACCCCATCAGGCATATGCTCTATAGGATTTCTAGGGAACAAATATGTTGGAAAAATGAATGACCAAATTCACAAAGGAAACCAAGGGCTGAGTCACAGTATTTGCCAGGAGTCCAAATGAACTTGAACTCCATCTTTTTTGACACACACACACAAGTTTCTTCAGAATCACCTTTGATATAGTTTAATCATACCCTAAAGAACATTTGATAAAACACAGAATGTACTTTTTACAACAGAAAATAAAACATCCAATTTTTAAGATTCAAAGAAATAAGTTAAAAAAAGACAAAGAAGTTTAACATATGAATGGGTTATGGTTTATCAGTAAGATAATAAAAACCTGAAGAAGCAGACACATAATGGCTGACTCCATATATGTGAACTTTGAGAAAAACAGTCAGTGGTAAGAGAAGGGAGGATTACTGACTACGAGATTAATGAGGGAGCCTTTTGGGATACTGGGAATGCTCTTTTTTCTCCCAGATCTGGGTGGTAGTTACATGGATGTATACATATGTAAAAATTTTTAAGTGGTACACCTAAGTGTATTTAATATACTTCACCATGTGCATACCCCAAATTAAAATAAAGAATTTAGATTAAATATAAAAATAAAACTAAACAAAATCTCCAAGATAAATACTTTGCAAAGATACCATCCTTTCAATACAGATACAGATACACACAAGACCCATTCAAATCTAAATTTTAAAAAACATAAGAACTCAGCACAAGCTGTTCCCTCTGCCAAACAGCAGTGAAGGTGTTGTCACATTTCATCTCATTCATAGCAGATGGAGATGACAAACAGAAGTATTTTAGGAGAAAGACTGACAATGAAATCCTGGCAGTAGAAATATCATCTTTTGTTCATTAAGTAGAATCATACTGTGGTAGACTTGATTACTGTTCAGCAAATATTCCCCCCTCCCCTGGACCTTGATAGCAGGGTATTCTTCCACATCACTGAGGTTGGCCCTGGCCACGCAGCTTATATGGCCAACAGGATGTTAAAACATGTGACTTAGCAGAACCTTGACACGTGCCTATGCATCTGGACTTGCCCTCTTGTGTTACTGACTTTTGTCAACAGAGGATGAGAAGTAAGTATAGCTGATCTGAACTTAACCTGCAGTTTGGCACCTAAGTCACCCCAGATATGAAAAGCTATTTACTACAGATAATAGCAAATGTTTCTAATTAAAAAATAATGTTTACAAGTTTGAAAACTTACAGGCAATCTCCCAGACCAATTTAAGTGACCACAATAGACATAGAAAAAGC